TATCGATTTATCAAGCATGTGACTGTAACATTCATCAATTTATTCAAAGAAGATTTTGAATACTTTTATATCTTTGTAGTTCTGTACGAATATTAACGAATATTAACAAAGAAGTTGAAAAACGCCCCTAATACACTTTTGATGATTAATCGTTCTTTTAGTTTGCTTTCATTCCCATCCCTTTATTTTATTTGATATTAACATTTTTTATATCAATAAAGCTTTTTCAGTATTGTATAAAGTTCAAATCGTACCAGCGTACTTAAGTGAAGGGGGGCCCTAATTATTAAATTGCCTATGGACTTAATAATAGCTTAATCCGGTCCTGGCTAACCTTTATAAACAACACCATTTAAGCACATGCTACCTTATCACTTTTTTTTTTGACAGCTTCCTCCCCACTAATTTATTTTCCGTTCCTTTACTATTCCTATTTTTACGATTACCGCGCCCCTCTTACTTTGTGTTTAATGATTTTTATAATACGGGCCTGATGGTATGTATGTTTCTTTGCTGCAATTAAACGCCATTCGGACTTTAAATGAGCATTACATAATTAGACACAGAAGCGACTTTGCAACATTATTTGAAATTGAATGGTCCGATCCCACCAACCAAAATGTTTGCTCAAGGCAAAACTCGTGGCGCTGGGAACCCACCCGGGACACCCCTTCAAACGACAATCATAATCGAAATAGTTCCGTGTCGAAATTACAAATTTACTACAGAATTGCGGGTTCAAGTTACGGCTACGCAGACTGTACGAATTGCAGGGGCGGTTTTGTTTTACAGCGGAAGTTCGGTAATTAAAGACAAACCCCCTTTGGGGGTTCGCAGTTTGCTAGTACGGGGAACCGTTTAATGGAACGCAAAGGTCACCCTTTTATATGTAAATTGTACATTGTACCTATATATATAGTATCTACGTTATATATTAAAGAGATGAAAAATTATAGTGTTAATTTTGTATTTACAAAAAACTGCTTTCTTCGCTGCATGTCTCTTTGTTCTTTTGCGAGTTATTTTTGAACCTGAACAAAACATAGCTTCATTTTCCAAAAAAAAAAGGAATACTGTTTCCGAAACACAGAAAAATTAGTTTTATGTGGTCGTCGATGATGTTTGATATTTAGGACAAGCGAGCGAAACCGCAGGTAAAACCTAGTAAAATAATAAATAATATAAACAGTTTAAAACAATTTTTTAAAAACAACAATGTAAAGATAAAATTATAACAACTATCTACAATTCATTAAAATACTATCACTATCAATTATAACAAGTTGAAAATAATTTGTGTATTATTGTAATTAAAAATAAAACGTCTATGCTTGTCAGGAAAAAATAATGGAAACTATAATCTTTTTATGTTTTTTTTTGGTCGGTATTTTTTCCCGCTGGAAAGTTGCCTTTACCTCTACTGTCTTTTTTCATCCTGACTTATCAGATTACCTGTATTTTAACAAAAAAAATAAAAAATAATAACCGATTAGAGTTTTAAAATTCTCGTTGGATTATTTTTTTGAATTATTGTACAGAAATAATTTCATGACTAAAACAGAATGGTAAGAAGGAGTAGCCTCCGTTGATCGTGTCACGACCTGGCTACCGCAGGCACGTGTTCGGGTGGTTGTTGGTAGTCGTCGAATGCCATCAACGTCCATTCCGTTGGTTCGTTGCGACGAAAGCAATTTGGTGAGCAATTAGCGGGCTCGTAATTAATGACTTCGATCGTATGGTGGAAAGTCAAGTTTGGATCGAGTCGAACGACGTGGATAATCGATGGATCCTAAGGCGTTGATTATTACCAGCACGATCGGACTCTTATGCGCTCTTATTTATCGCGAGAAGTCTCACAGAAACATCTAAAAACATTTTCTTATTTGCTCTATAAAAATGGAAAAAACATCAAATTCATTTTTAATTTTCTGAGAATTTTTTAATTTCGTCACGCAGAAAGTTATTCAACATATGACACCTTTTTAGGCATGAAGGTCTCGTCAGAGACATGTTAGAGGCAGAAACAGGAGTTAAGAGGAGTAGAGGTAGACCTAGATTAGATTACTGTTCGCAAATAGTTAAGGATGTGGGATGTTCTAGTTTTAGGGAAATGCAAAGATTAGCTCAGGATAGGAAAGAGTGGAAGTGCGTGTCCAACCAGTCTTAGGACTGACGACCTTATGGTGATGACTATCAATAATGTGATGTTTTTCTGATTGAAGTATACAGAATTTCACGTTGGTACGTCTTTTCTTTACCTATAAACTTCTAGGTAACAGTTGATATCAACCACCCAGTGTATTAAGTATGGATTATTTCATAACTTATGATCAAGAAAATTTCACATATTCGGCAGTTTATTTATTTACTATCCTGTTTTTCTTCCTTAGTAACACGAGTTGAATTAAAATAATACTTGCCATCGATTTTTTTTATTGAAATTTATATATCTACTTTACATTCATGTTAATCACTTGTCGTTTAAATACAAAAGTGACGCGCCATACAACGTTAACGTCACCTTTGTAAATGACATAATAAATATACATCAGAAGGGAGAGGTACAATGTTCCCCTTATCCGAATATGATGCTAATTCATAGCCGTCTATTTGTTAAACGATGCTGCCAGGCTATCGCATCCCACCGGGCATGTCCCGGCCCAGTCCTTGTTTATCCAGGAATACGCGCACCATTTGTTCTCGACAGATTTATTAACTACATGAATTTCCGCGTGCGAGCGCCGGAGTGGGTGGCAGATGACAGCTATGGTGTTTTTCTGCTGGCTTTTTGTTTTTATCCCGGAATTGTGGGGCGCGTCCAGATATTGCATTCAGCTCGCACTCTTTCTCCATATAATAGCGATAGCAAACGGTCACCATATGCGCCAGTTTCAACGTTTAATGGACGTATATTTTACGGAAAATGTCCTCGACGAACTTTTGTCCGGCACTTTTTTTGTCGTAAAATAAAATAAAATCTGACGCAAGGGAATGCACCGACTACGTACAACCAGTCCCTATTTTAATAACAGTGAAACCTTTTGAAACACACAATGTAATATTTCTAAATTGCACATCACTTCTTTCCATACACAAAACTTTCCATTAGATTTCTAATCATATTCTATCTGAAATTAGCATCAGACAGGTCTTTTAATAAAGGAACCCATAAGCCATAAAAAATTCATTCGGGAAAAAACAGAATCTAGAAGCATCTTGTCAAAAAGAAAAACATAAAAATGACCGTCTTATGCAGTCTATAACGATTAGAATAAGGGAAATACATAAAAAATATGAATTAAAATAATTATAATAAGAGAAGCACGTTATTGTATTATTCCAAAGCTTTATCAGGACGGAGGATGAAGCATATTTTTAAATAACTTTTTGAAGCACATAAAACAGAGATTTTCGTGTATATTTAGACTTTTAAAAATTCATAACTCAGAAAATATTAACTTTACAAAAAAAAATTGAGACCTTTTTGATCCAAAAATGTAAAAAAAAACTGTTCCGGCCAAGAACAATAACCTTTTTGTTTAAACAATCGTGATTTAAACAATACCCGACNTTATATACCTAGGAGAATCTTCCGAACAAAATGGCGTAAAAAATTTAAACCGAACAATTTTTCCAACTCACCCGCCCATATTGCCTAGACCATCCCTGGGTTTTAAAATTACATGCTTATCCTAAAGGTAGTTCGGATCATCAGATATAAAAGCGGTGCATAGTTTTGTAATTAATGTGGAGTTATGGAGATGTAAAACATTAATTTATCTATGTCACATTTTAAAGACATTACTGTAATATAAAATAAAAAGCTGCAGTTGTATAAGGATTTTGTGTAATTAAAAAAAAATAAAAGATAAAAAGATATTTCTTTCTATATACAGCAAAGAAATGCAACAATTAATTAGCATTTTTATTAGTGGAGAAGTGCTCTCCGTAAAATAAAACTTGAACAATTAACTTCTTTAAATGTATGAAAGCAGTCGGCGCGCATCTCGAGGGACCTCTAACGAACTCCGTACTTCGTAAAAAAAGTAATTAAAGCGTTCAAAACAACTTCGTTTCAAATAGTTCTCTAGGGAGAAATCGTTTTAATGTTCACAAAAATATGAAAAGTGCTTTCATGCATTTAATATCAGCCCTTATCCCTTTATTTCCACTGAATTTGCAATGACCTCCCAATTCAATCAAAAAAAGAAGTTTCACTGCATTTGTTTTTGTTGCAACGTGTGTTTTAAACCTATTTCTAGATTATAAACTTGAAATATTTTTAATTTATGAGCCTCGGACTTAAAATAAGAAAGTTGAAACCCTGTAAAAAAAAAACATTAAAATTTGCGGGCTTTTTAAAGAGGTGCAAAGTGATTAATGATTAAATTATATAGTGTTCGACCGAAACCGAAACCGAATTTCGGCAACAGTCTCAGTTTCGGCCGAAACCGAAACCGAAACTTCCTTTTAAGGATCATGTTTTTAGAGAAAAATAAAGAAAACGTTATTATAATCAGTCAGTTTTATTTTTTTATCTTTAAATCACATAGCTCTGCAGTCTTTGACATTTTCACTTATTGGTAATCAAATCAAAATCATTTAAGGAAATACTTTAATTGCGCCTTAAAAATACTTAAAATAGGTGAGATGTTTATTTGAGTAAGTATAGTAGACTAGACTCATTTTTCGTTTGAAGATTATTCATGCTTTTTTTTATATAATATTAAACATAAAATTACTTTTGTTATTGTTACCTAATATCACAATAGGTATAGGAACTCCTGAACGCAGTTTCGGTTTCGGTCGTAGTTTCGGCAGGTTTACCGCCGAAACCGAAACTAAACCGAAACTCGTTTTTTTGCCGAAACTCGACCGAAACCGAAACCGAACTTTCGGTCGGACACTAAAATTATATGAATTTAATTGAACGTCTTGATTGATTTTCCGTACAATATCATACTTATATTTAATTAATTAATTTTAAATTTTTATTTCAGTGTGAAGAAGCCTTATCAACTGGAGATATTTCGGTTTTTGCTTCACGGGCTGGCCCCAACACCTGTTGGCACCCTTCTTGCTTCTGTTGCTGCGTTTGCAGGGAACTTCTGGTGGACCTCATCTATTTTTTTAAAGATGGTCGTCTCTACTGTGGAAGACATCACGCAGAAACTATTAAACCAAGATGTTCTGCTTGTGACGAAGTAAGGAAGATTAATTTTCTTTTTTCATTATTATTAGTATTTTGTAAGAGCAAAGTTTGTTTCTTATTTAACCGGAATAATCTCTGAAATTGAATTTATTAGAAAAGCTAAACTTTAGCAAGTATTGCAATTAGTAATAACTATTTAATAATCACGATAAATTGCCTGATTTACATACGTACATATATTCTAAACAATCTACTCTGCAGTCAAGAACGTTATCATATAAATTCACTTAATATTTACATACCAAGGTCCCTGCCACTTTTTCATTTTAACTCCTAAAAAAGATACTTTAGCTGTAGAAGCTTCCTTATTACTGTACTTGATAACTGGCTTGCATTTATTACTTTCGTTTTGTCCATGCACACGTTTGAGTGTTTCTTTTTTGGTAACTTTCTTTTGCTTTGTTAATTATTTATTTGTTGTAATATATGTAAATGAAAGATTAAACGTCAGTGCTTCATATTTCCTCTGATAATAGCTAATGTTTCTAAGACACAGGATGGACTCTTCCTAGATTGATGTCATGATAATAAACTTCCATTAACAGGAATTATTTTATTTGATGTAAATTTACGCCATTCTCATTAATGTACGTGCGTAGCTAACTAATAACTAATACAACAACCACTTTTCAGAAAAGTTTTGTTAGTTTATTAGCTAGCAAAACAAAAACATAAGAAATTTCAGTTTACTTATTATTCATCCCGCTTATTAAAAATTAAATTAACACTTTTTCAGTTTATTCTTTTTATTTTAATTTAAATTTCAATCAATTTATTTATTTTTTTCAGATTATTCTCGCCGATGAATGTACAGAAGCTGAAGGACGTGCGTGGCATATGAAACATTTTGCGTGTTCAGAATGCGAAAGACAACTAGGAGGTCAACGGTATATAATGAGAGATGGGAGGCCGTATTGTCTTCACTGCTTCGATGCCATGTTTGCGGAATATTGCGATTCTTGTGGGGAACCCATAGGGGTCGATCAAGGTCAGATGAGCCACGAAGGTCAACACTGGCACGCCACAGAAGTTTGTTTTTGCTGCCATACATGTCGAACATCCCTCCTAGGGCGCCCTTTTCTTCCCAGAAGAGGAGCCATTTATTGTTCAATAGCTTGCAGCAAAGGAGAGCCTCCAACACCCTCGGACAGCTCTGGTGCTGGTCCAAGACTTCCAAGACAACAACCAAGATGCAGACCTCCTAGAGCACCTTCTCCAAACGGTTCCAGCACTCCACCAGCTTCTCCATGTAGGAGAGCTCCAGTTTCTCCCACAATGTCTTCTCCTTCCTCACCACCGGGATCTTTATCTTGTCCACAATCATATTCGCGACCTAACTTACCGAAATCGTCTCCACCTTTAAGATCTCCTAAAATGGGAAGAAGGGCCTTGCAAAGATCTCCGAAACCTACTCATATTGCTTCAACAGCTACCACGCCAACCCCAAGCGAAAGCAGTCACGTCCCAGAAACTCTTCAGCCACATTTAGAAGACAATTCGAATAAAAATATTCACACGTCTTCTCATAATGTAAGAGGTTTAGACAGGGTGCTTTTGGAACGAAATTTGGACAAACTTATTTGTGAAAAAGGCAATCAAGAACCTTCTTCGGACTTGGAAAGATTGCTTCAGGCTAGGGACCGTAGCAGAGAACCTCTACATCTCGCCGATCTGAGTCTAGACGATTGGCAACCCCGAACAACCATGAACGATGCAATTGAAAAGTCCGACTCAAAAACGGAGAGCAGTTCTTCCGAAAGGGATCGAGAAAATAACGTGTATCAATCGTTTCCTCAACAGACCTCTTCAATGCCCGAACTTCCCCATGCAGTTTCTACAGATACAACACCTGGGGACTCTTCAAATCCTCCTGGGTCACCTTCAAAGAGAAGCAAGGCAATGCTAAGTGTAAGATTCCAAGGAGATAACGAAGCTTTTGAAGCAGATGAATGCGACGTTATGGATTCAGAAGTAAAAAGGTTTCCCAGGAGTCGAAGTTACGCAGGAAGAACTAGATATCACGATAGTTTAGATAAAAGAAGGCCTCGCAAAACGACCTCAGAAAGCCAAGTGGCTAGCACCAGTAAACAAGAAGACGACGATGCTTCAAGTTATTGCTCAACTTGTTCTTCCAGCTCTTCTAGTGACGATTTAGATTACCAGTTGCCTCCAAGAAGGGCATACGGAGGCGTACGAATTTCTTATGTTCCTAATGATGCCTTAGCGTGTGCTAGAAGGCGACAACAAGCAGTGGCAGGACAAAGGTCACCAAGTAAAAAGACAACAATCGACGACAAAGACAAGAACTGCACGATTTCATGATGTTTGTCTTGTTGTTTTTGTCTGACAAATGCCTTCCAATTTTTCAGATGCCAAAAATGTTGTCATTGCGATGTATTCAGGGTATGCGACACTTCTTAGCCATCTCATACGTATAAAAAGCCTGACGATAATATGCCTTTATACACATACATACATTAATATTAACCAGATAGCGCTTAAAGAAATGTACGTGTCATAGAATTTTTTACTTTTATACTATTTACTTAGTACTCGACATGATAAATTGATGGATGGAAGAAGCCTGTGTTCTTTAATTATTAAGATGCTACGCCAGGTACAAAAAACTTTACTTTTAATGGTTACGATTTTTAGCTCAAACTGTAGATTTGTATAAATTGTATTTATTTAAAATTTTAATATAA